AGAGACTTGCCCCATTTCCTGTACCTCTCAGCCTTAATCAGCGTTTTTGCACCCAGGATCCGTAACCTTGGATTAGGTTCGATTCTTTCTACGCAACGATAGAGGAGTTGGTGGATTCTGATGTGATCCTACACGTCCGCGATATGTCCAGTGAGACCACTGTCGAAGAGGTGAATCGGCGGGCGCAGTCCGTTGCTTCGACGAATTTGTTTTTGTTCTCTTAGTATGATGCTGTTATACAGTCACTTAAAGGTTGTGGCTTCACTGATGAACATATCCGGAATCGAATAGTCGAAGTCTGGAATAAAGTCGACAAGCTCAGTGAAGTTGAGCTACATGCGTAAGATCGATGCTCTTGTGGATGAGCAGTCCCCGTTAGGGCTTTGGCCGCGCAACATGAGGACGCTGAGGCGAAGGAGCCAATTCTTGTATCAGCTCAGGATGGCACCGGAATTAAAGTACAGTACTGGGTCATTCATGTCGGTCACGAAAAGCACACTTTCGATTATCATTACACTGTGAACAAATCAATGGAATTCAACCGCTCTCGTTGATTTCTCATCAGTTACTGACCGATCTGTTGGATGAGATCGTAAATGCTAGATTGCGTACCAAGGTCATCACCGTGGATATGCCTTGTGGAGACACTAACGCGCGAATGCAATTCCTCAACGAATATGCGGAGGCCGTGTAAGAGTTATGTGACCAGCACCTGCTGAACGAAAGCTTGACGGTAGATACGATCACACGATGAGAGTGAGCTCGGATGGGAAAACGACATCAGTTGATGTGCTCATAACGGAGGTCCAGATGGATCGTTATATGGCCAAGTTTCACGGACGCAGCCGTCGGATGAGACTCGAGGCCGACAAGGAGAGAAGACTGCTGGAAAGCGAAGGACAAGCTCGGATCGAGCACGCTGAGGACGATAAGACAGAACACTGATCTTCATGTTTCTTGTGATATCTCTCTTGAGTCGACGCTTGCGTAGGGAGTACCAGTCGGTTAGCAAAGGGGATGAGAAGTGTATTGCTATTACATGTAATGCATGATAGCGTGTAGTAAGCGCGGCGATGGGGTAACAGATATCTCGCTAATCAATAACACTTCGATCGTGCAAGTTGCGACCACCTGTAGCCACGTTGAACCAAATGAATTTGACATATCAATGACTCCTGACTGCAACACAAAACTTAACTCATCAATCAGAATCATCAGACTGAAACCCAAACAGTAACTTAGTCCCAATATCTTCATTTTCCTCATCTCGGGGCTTCACGTTATTACCAGCGTACCACACCGTATCCGAAACCTTTGCAATCGGATCAGCTCCATCTCCCGCTCCGTAGAGAATGTTTCGCTTCTGCCGCTTATGTTCAAGCCTTCGAGCTTTCCGACCCTCACCCGCACCAAGTTGCTTCCGTTGTGGTACTAGACTCTCCAAAACCTCACTCCACGCACTACTTCCTTTTTTCAGAACGGCCAACAAAATCTCAACAACAGTGTTGATATTCAATACCGGCAGTGTGACATTGGGTAGATACTCTCGTACTGGTAGTTTTCGCATTACTATGCTCCCCCCGGCCGCCGGTGCTGGGTCAAGCCTATTGGCTTGGCTGAAGGTCTCATTCTTGGCGATGGTGCGATCAACAAGCCCCCCTATTACATACACCTTATCCTTCTCAACCGCCTCCAGGTCTTCTACAGCATCAGGGGTGAGTACTACAATATCGTGCCCAGCAAATGTGTCCCAGTAAGGGCCCTTGTCGATATGAACCTTCCAGTTCTCGTAACCCTGTGGGTGCAATCGAGTCTCCAGAGCAGAATCCATCCCAACCAAATGGAACTGCACGCAGGACTCCTTCGACCGCTTGAGTGTATTGTATGACAACTGCAACTGTTTCGCTAAGGACGTTATCTCCTTTTCCTGCATTTGATCGGTAAAGCCACAGTTGAAAGCGATGATTGGATTGCCTTCGTCATAGCACGCCTGCATGTGCGCCTCGCTCCGCTCCTTTTCAGCAATCCACTCGGCTTTCTCAGCATCAGCCCGTTCCTGGATCTCCTCGGCGCTCAGACCCGCAAGCTCGTCTCTACGCTCTCACGACGCCGCTCTTGACAGCTCTCTTCATCTACGCACTCTACGCTGCTCTCTCTGGCTCTCTCTCGCGCTCTTCTGCGACTCGGCTACGTTGAACGACGATATACTGCATCAATAGACTCATGCTCGACATCCTATGTCAGCGATGGTGTCGATGAGATCTCACCACGAGTGCTCGGCGATGAACACTGCATTAGTTCGGTGGACATGCGAGAGCGATCTCAGGAAGGACAAAAAGGGACGTGCTGCAACAGCACAGCCCAAATCCACTACGTAGGGTTCGTCGATTACACTGGTTGCGAACACCCTTGCAATAGTTTCTCGCACGCCTCCCCTATCAACAATTCTTTCAATACTGAGTCGACCGAGCCGCGACTAGGAAGAATTTTGTGCTCTCCGAAACATGGCCGGTAAAATTTCGCGGTACGAGAAAACCGACTACGATGATTTGCGAAGTTTCGATAACCGCATCTCGAGCAAGGAGTAGCACACTTCGATGGAGGAAATTGTGGCGAGCGCTGAATTTAGTGGCGCAGCGGTCAAGCGATGATACGTATTCCCACCCTGGGACGTAATCGAGAGACGCTGTAGTTGAGCAGGTGGTTCGATGAGTTGGCGCACCAGAAGTGGGCTGTGGAAAGAGTATTACCTCCGTTCACTTCAATGGATGGTTTTAAGTTAAAACTGTGTTGAAATTCTAAACACATTTCCTAGAAAATGAATATAAGAATAGCGGTTAATGTGACAATGTATTCATCCTCCAGTTGTTTGAAATCGTAATGTCTACCATTCTACCGTTATCCGAGGAACAGCTGCTGACTCTCCGCAACGATATCCTGCCATATAAGGAGTACACTGAGTACAGCCCAATGCCCGCCTCTGGAGTTGAAGTGTCTTATTGTTCAGTAAGATTCTGTTGTGAGACTCGTCGAGATCGTGCGTATGCTGTTAGATCTGCGGACTCCCGCAGGACTTTTGCGAGTTCGGGCCGAGCTGGGATAAATGCCGCTCGAGTGCAGTAGCAGCATACCCTCAGCTGTACCCACAATATCAAGGCGAAGGTGACGAGAAGGATGCTGATCAACACCAAGGAGATGCCAATAGTAGAATCGTCGATGATTCGAAGTAATACTGGACAATTTGCCGACACTCGCTGACCTCCTTGAGCAAATATGTTGTTCTTTTCACGTCGGTCGCTCACTGCATACAACGTAGTTCATCGTGGTACTTGTTTGTCAGGAACGTCGATGGTGATATCTCTTCGTTGGTCACCATTCGAAAGCTCATCCGTAGTAAACGTAAGATAATTACC